AGGCCCGAGTGTTACAGGTCGCAGGCTCTGAGGAACAGATCTAGCCACTTGGCAGTTAATGGCAAATTGTTTTTCATCTTAGTGTTCAGTTATATTTATTAATTTCATACATGGAGCCCTTGATATCCACAGATAAATGTGATATTTTCCTAAAAGCCCAGACTGTAGTAAAGGTTTCAAGGGTAAAGCCTTTCTCCAAAGGATTAACTAAAAATGGCTTAGCTACTTCCCGGGTCTTTGTTCTACAGACCAAAAAACCATCCTCCCTAATCCTTTTCCAGGTGCCGCCCATTCACCTGGGTGTCTCGCGTCCTCCTGCAAACCTGGCTCAGGAAGCCAAAACAGGGGGACTCCTCCCAAGCCTTTTGTCCTTCCCTTTCACCTTGCCCCAACTGAGCTCAGGGGCTATAGATATGTTAATTGAGCCTGAGAAACCAAGTTGCAGGCCTGGGATTCGAACCAGCAAAGTACGATGTAAAGTTACCTGAATGTCTGGAAAATTACTGATGTCAGCTGTACCTTGTCTTAGTCCCTCCCAGCTTGGTGTGAAGCTCCTCCCCTAAATAAAACCGAGATGCAGGCCGGCCCAGGTGTGCATTACAGCTTGGAGGGCATGCAGTAAAGATTGCAGGGCAGTAAGATGCTGCCTGCAGAGGCCACGATGCCTGTAGTCCCAAGTCTGCCCACCAGTGATGCATCCACCCTGGTTTCGGGGTGCCTCATTGTCCCCCTCCTTCTGTCTGTCTGTGTATTATTTTGCTATCCCTATCGCCGCTGGATATCCCCTCCTCGTGAACCAAACACTCGTGAACAACACAACTGTGTCGAGGACAGTCCCCAACAATGATGCATGGAGGGGATTGTAACCATGGCAATGAAACAATATATGATGGGATGAATGAAAACTAATGTTCTCCCATGTAAACTATTACATAATTCACAATAAAATATATTTTTAAATAAAAAGAGAGAGAGATCAATTAAAAAGAAAGGTCTTTGAGAAATGGGTAGGTTTAATTGAGCAAAGGGAGAGGAGAATGTGGTGAGGATGACAAAGGCAGGAGATGTTCTGGGGATATTCTGGATAGTACATGTTTTCAAGACTTTTTGGTGAACTCTTGGTACTGGAATAAACCAATGTAAAGGGGGTTTTGTTTTTGTTTTTTTCATCTTTTACTGCCTTCCCCAAACTTGTCTTCTTCTTAGAACCTAACACAAAATCAGAGCCTTCATAGCTCATCTGTACGAACAGGCTCAGGGCTGTATTGAGTTTGAGAATGAGTTTGGCCAAGCCATCGGATTTTCAATGGTTGGACTGGCAACCAGTGACATCTAAAGGTGCAGCTGCCTTTGGTTGGGCTTCCTAGTTGATGAAACAGTGTAGATTTCAGAATGGTGGCACAGCAGTTAAAGTGCTCGACTGTTAACCAAAAGGTCAGCTTCCATGAAGATTTACAGCCTTGGCAACCCCATGGGGCATTTCTACTCTGTCTGAGAGGAGCACTGTGAGTCAGAATCAATGAGATGGCAATGGATGCATCTGACCAACCCACAAAAAGATGTACCCACCTTACCAACCCCAGATGGGTGTGGGAGTCATGTAGTGATGTAGGATAAGCACAGGACTGCTAACAGCAGTGTCGGCTGTTCAAACTCACCAGTCTCTACTCAGAAACCCAATACAGGGTCTCTGTGAGTTGGAACTGACTCAATGTCACTTCACAACAACAACAAGATGGGTGCAAAGGCGACCTGGTAGTGCAGTAGTTAAGTGCTTGTCTGATAACTGACAGATCAGTGGTCCAAACCTAGCAGCTGCCGGCAGGAGAAAAATGTGGCCATCTGAGAAACTCAAAGGGAACACATGAACAGGCATGTAAGCTCACTGGCGACCACATTGGTGTACTGGTGAGTGAAAGAGAAGGAAAGGCAGCAATGAAGAAATGGCTGAGTTCCACCACGTTCCATAGACTCCCGTCAACCTGGAGATGAGAGAGAGAAGAAGAGGAGCTGGTTGGTCCAAAGTGTGGTGAGACCTGGAGACACCTGAGCCCACGGACAAGGACATAGCCACAGAGGGCTAGAGCTGAGTGTGAAGCATCCAGCTGATATGAAGTGAGGGGAAATGCACAAGAACACCCAAATTTGTAGACAGTACCCATTTGACCTAGCCTCGATGGCATGATGATCAGACTTAACTAGAGGAAGATAAAAAATTTTTTGATAAAGGAAACAGGTGTAAATTGCTACAATTTGATTACCTTGGCCTATACTTATGGATGTAGTAGCTCAAAATACCAACTAAGAGGGTAGGAGTCTTCACATCAAGTATCAATCCTATCCCCTCTGTATGCAGGGTAGATAGGGACGGGCAACTTAGACATTGGCTACCTAAAATGAGGGGACACAAAATGACTGGCTTACAAGTTTTCAAGAGGGAGTTTTGTTTCAGAGTGTGCAGGAGAAGGTAGAATCCCCACTGAATAGTTTTCATCTTGTCTAGACGGGTCTGGTGAAAAGAGATGGGGATAAGATTCTTATGGTTCAATAGTGAGTAATTGTTATGACTAATTACAGTTGTCACAACTGTAAAGATAGAAGTTTTGTAACAAAAGCAGGGGAGTGGTTAATCTTACATTCCAGGAACAGAGGACCCTAGGACCATCAAGAGAGAAGAGCACGAGTGGAATGTGGGACCCTACACAGAGAAGCAGCAACACCAGAGATGGAGGCACAGATGATGACATGGAGAGAGGGAGCAGCTGAGGACTCATGGAAAGAGAAAGACTGTGCTGGCAGCCAGGAGACAGGCTTGCAGAATGTGCCCTTTGATTGTTTAAATTCTATATTCCTGAGTGTTCTTATGTACATCCCAAAAAAAGGGAAAAAAAAAAAAAAAACCCAGAGGGAATAGAAGCAAATACTGTTGGATGATGATGCACGGAGGGGATTGTTATCATTGCCGTGAAATGATGCGTGTAAAACCGATGTTCTCCCACGTAAACTATCACTCAATTCACAATAAAAACTTTTTTAAAATGTGGCAGTCTGCTTCTATAAAGATGACAGAGTGGAAACTCTGTGGAGCCATTCCACTCCACCTTACAGAGTTCCTATGAGGTGGAACAGTTCAACAGCAGTAGGTTTTGGATGATGGCTTACCTGTAGCCTTCACATCTTTCAATGTACTGCTAGATCTTAAGAGTCGTTACTATGCTCCTTAAAAGGTAGTCTCCCCCATATTGTTACTAGAAAAATTGTGAATTAATAGTCCTATAGGGTTGTAGGATAAGCATTGAACTGCTAACTGCAAGGTCTGTGGCTCAAATCCACCAGCCACTCTCAGAAACCCTTCACAGAGTCTCTGTGAGTCGGAACTGACTTGACGGCACATAACAGCAACACAGGGTCACTATGAATCAAAATCAACGTAGTGGCAGTGGGTTTAGTTTTGGTTTGATCCTTCCCAGGAATGTGGATTTGAAAACCACATATACATTTGATTATAAAATTAATCATGAGACATTAAATTCGCTGTTTGCCCTCACTGTGGCAGCTTGGTTTGGTCCTTCCCAGGAATGTGGATTTGGAAATCATATATAACTTTAGTTGTAAAATTAATCATGAGACGTTAAACTCGCTGTTTGCAGAGGCTGCAGAAGGCAGGTGTGTTGAGGGGATTGAGGAGTTGCTATTAAATGGCCCGGAAAATAACAGCGGCTTTCTGTTCTAACAGAAGGTAGACTCAAAAGAGTAAGAGAAACTCAATGGGATGAATATTTAGTTTCAATCTGTTGCCTAAAATACTGACAAGAGGGTGCTAAAGGTGTAAGTAGCTTACTGTAGAAAGCGTAGTATCGCCAGGTAGTTATGTGTGGAATATGATGCCGTTTTGAATGGGAAGATGTGATACAAGTAGTTTATAGGGTACAATGGAATCTGATTCGAAGGTGGTCCAACGGGTCCTGTAACTGGGGGGAGTTGGGAGCAGCTCTGCAAATTGACATCTCTGGGCTGCTCTCTGAAATTCTGCTGACCCACTCTGTCCATCTCAATGTCTTCAGAAATGTCTGTACTCAGAAGTGGGGCGGAGGGAAGAATGGCCTCGTGGGTGGATTTTAAGTGGCAGATGTTTCTGTAAGTAACTGCCAAGCGTTAATCTGGAGCCAGCACTCGAGAATGTTGGGTTAGCGACTGTATACACAGGTGTTTTTTTCTTAATGTCTTCTGGGGGTTGGGGAAAGATGTGGTTTTGAAGTGTACTGGAAGGGAGGCCTTACCTGGACATTGGTTCCCCAGACAGATACCATGCAGGGCTGCCTGGAAAGAGGACAGGTGGGAACAGCCATGTGAGCAGCCTCCTGGGCTGCTTGTCTGAGCAGTGAGAGATCAGGGCAGCCTGTGCGCTGTGGGTAGGGGCTGCTGGTGCTAATTTGAGTGACTGCTTCTCATTGACCAGGCCTTCAGTGCTGACTTTGATTTTGCACACTGACTGCATTCAGCATTGAGATTACTACTTCCATGTTTATGAAGAATGGCAGACATTTTCATTTCATATAGTGGGCATTTGCTGTTGAAATAAAACAGACATGCTGTTGAAATAAACTAATCCAGAGACCAAATTAAGTGAGCTTTTGGGTGACATTTACATTTATAGTAAGCTGTGGATACTTTTATTCATTCATGTTGCTTAGTAGTATTCAGTGACTGGTGGCCGTTGTGTGCCACGGAGTCAGGGTTTTCAAGGCTGTAAATCTTTAAAGAAGTAGAAAGCCTCATCTTTCTCCCACAGAACGGCTGGTAGTTTTAAACTGCTGACCTTGAGGTTAACAGCCCGACTCATAACCACTACGCTACCAGAGCTGCTTATTCAGTAATTGCACATCCTCATTTAAAACCCTGTCTGCTGTTTCAATTTCCAAAATCTGTTGGTTAGCATACTATGTTCTAATTTGTAATCTTTGCGTAAAGTAATAACCCTATCTATATTTGCCTTCCAGGTGCCCGGATTGCTGAGTATTCCCAGCTGTATGACCAGATTGTATTCAGAGACTCTCCCCTTAAAGCTCACAAGGATGGCTGGGCCAGCCAGCAAGAATCCTCTACCCTCAGGTCTACACCACCTTCCCAAACAGTGAAGATGGGTAGTGAAGACTGGCTTCTACATTCAACCTATAGTAATGGAGAATTAGCAGATTTCTGTCCCCAGCCAGAGGAAGACATGAAGTCCAGATACACTACTCTAGACATCAGGACAAAAAGCACTCCCAGACAACTGTCCACAGCCTGCTCCGTGCCTTCTCTTCAAACCACTGAGGCTCTGCCAGGCCCCAGCCAGCGGCGCAGTGTGGTAGTAAGTCAGCCCAACAAGGAGAACTGCTGCCAGGACCATCTGTATCACTCTCTGGGGCGGAAAGGCATCAGTGCCAAATCTCAGCTTTATAGCCGGTCCCAGTCGTCGTCCTCCATCTTGATCGACAAATCAGCAGACTCGATCAGCTACCCTAGTGAGCAGCTGCTGTCTTTGCACAGAAGCTTCAGAGGTGTCAGTCAGCAGCAGCAGGGCTTTGGAAAACGCTCAGAGCTCACACTCCAAGACTCACAGAAAGTTCTCGTCGTCAACAGAAATTTGCCCTTAAGTGCCCACATAGCCACTCAGAACTATTTTTCCAACTTCAAAGAGACTGAGGGAGATGAAGATGACTACGTGGAAATAAAATCAGAAGAAGAGGCTGAGGTAGAGCTAGCTCATGATCATAGAAGGACATCTGACCCAAAGATGATGGAAGCCGGTTCCTTTGAAAATGTCTACTGCAATAGCACAACATACTCTTTAAATAGTCCTCGTACGCCCAAGAAGCCGATAACTAGCCAAGTGGGTCTTCCACCGTATCTGACATCGTACAGTGATTCAGACAAACTGGATGGCTATCTCTGGAGGGGGCCATCGCCCAACCAACAAAACATCGTCCAGTCTCTACGGGAAAAATTTCAGTGTCTCAGTTCAAGTAGCTTTGCCTGAACGTCGTACCAATAGCTACCTGGATTGGTGCACTGTGCTCATAAATGACAGATATTGATGAGGTGTTTTATATGTACCAGATGAAAGCAATTTTGTAGTAGCCATAAGTGTGTAATATACTTTCCTTTACAGCACAACTTTTTGGAACAGTGATGAACAGCCAGGATTGTACTGTAGCAGAGGTCGGCATCAAACAGTTCATTTATCTGATGCTGATCGTTAGATTTCACGTGAGACGATCTTACTGGAAGATTTTTAGGCTTTTTTATTTTATGATGGCCATGATATTTTTCCCACTACTGGACAACAGTGCCAGACTCTCAAAAATGCAACAATCCTCTGGTATTCTGTGGAAACCATGAGTGGTCTTCTCCTAGGACGCCAAGCAGCAAGGAGGCTTTTTCAAGTGTCTTAAAAAGAAACATAACTAAAGCTACATTAAGGAATTAAGTTTAAATCTGGGAAGACCCTAAAATAACATAAGCCAGAGATCTCTAATTGGAGTGTAGACTACATGGCCCGTCTCCGGGTCTCTATGCTGGTGTTCCGACATCAGTGCTCCGGGATGCCGAAATTGTGCAACTATTGAAGATCAGAATGGAGCAGAACCAATGTGCTCTAAGCAAACATCCATCCCTGTATTCCTGGACAAAGCCTGGATAATGTGCTGCTTATGTTTTTTATTTTAAGACTACTGGGGTGAAATAAATTATTTCCATTTATGGCTTAAAGAAATCTATCTTCAATAAAATGTAAATTGACCTAAGTCTGAGAAAAGAAGGGATAACATCTGGGGACAAGGAGCTCTTCTCCTCCTGTGACGACAGTTAAGGTAGACATACACACACACACACACACATACATACATATAAACCCTCTATACCAACAAATAGCCAACACAAAGTAAACCATAAGCTAAAATAAGACAAAGCACTTTCAAGTTACCTTGGCCAAAGTAGTTATTTTCATAAGTCCCTTCATGAGTTGTGGATTCACCCAAATGGCCTCATCCCACTTCTGAGGAATCGTTGACTCGGGAATGTGACAAGAGTGTGTTTTCTATACAAGACGTAACATGGGGGGGGGGGGGCGCTTTTCTTCGGTGTTTGGAGACATAAAAGGACAGACTCCTTGGTTACTAAGTTATAACTAATGACATCATACTTAAAAATTGCAACTGTGGTCTTAAAATAGCAGTTGAGTATGATTGTTTATACCAGTACTCACCTCCTCATGGGGGGACAGAAAAACAAAGGCAAGACTCTGAGGAAAAAAGCAAAATCAAAGACGACACTAAAGAAAAAGAGGCAAAATTGTTGCTACTTCATAAAAAAGATTCCATTGTATTGACCAGTCCAGTTACTGCTGCAAGAACATCTTCTCTCCAACAGTAGAGTCTGTATTCTCATTGTAAGCAGTTTGACATTCTGTGGCCCCTCTCAAGTCTTCTCCATTTCCATTTTTTAAAAATATGATCATATGTAGGGGAAAAAGGGGGCGCTAAGTTTTTCACTTAAAGGTAAGTAATAATTTGAATTAGTGACCTCTAAACATAAAATGTGACCATCCTTGTTTTACAAGTAGGGTACCTAAGGAATTCATTTTTCTTTTTAAATAACAAAAATACAGCACCCCGATTTCTTCTGTAGTCTTCTTGTAGTTTACAAGACAAAATCAGTATTGAACAGCCTGGTTCTGGAAACACTCCTCTTTCCATTGCCTTCATTTTAGCATCTACGGGTTTTCTAGGTGCAGCAGCATCAGAAAATTAAAAACAAAAATCAAGAAAGTACGTTTTTACATTTGTTAGAGGTGTTCGTAAATGCTTTTGCATGACCTATAAAAAAAACGAACTTAACCAAATCTTGTCCCAGCACTTTTCCATTTGTGCTTTTTACTTTGACCCAAATTCTACATTTTTCATATTCTTTTTGCTATCTTTATCTCAGAAGTTATCAACTCTTACTGCCCGGCTTTGATACCAACTATCGGAATGGGTTCCTCTGCCTGAAGGAGGCTGTCTAACTGTCTCCAGGTCTGTGCTGGGTACAGGTTCTGGGACAAACTGTGTTGGTAGAGTCACCTGTGACTTCTGTCAGCCAGGATGCAGATCTTGAGAGCTGTGTGTATATGCATAATCATGTTCGTGTTTTTCCTCAGAGTTATCAATTAAATACTTTTGTTTAAAATTGTTTCTTTTGGAGGTGGGCTGGGTGTATATAATTGGGAGGAAGAAAAGTCCTATGTACTTAAATGTATGTCAAGTTCCTCGTAAGTCCCTGTACTGATGGTTCAAATTGTTTTTATATAAGTTCACTTTACACCTACTCTGTGACAAGTATATCTAGGCAAGCCTAGTTTAAATACTGTATATAAGATAAGGAAAGTAATGCCCATTATTTAATAAAGTTTGTAAAATACCAACTAAATTATAGTGTGGTCAGTGTGTTTACTCTAGAAAGATCAAGACTTTTCCAAACTACACTTAAACACAAGAATAATTTGTTCTTCCCCCATTAGCAGTTATGAAAGTGGCTCATGGGCTGTTTCAGTGGCCTCTGATGGACTGCTTTTAGATCTTTGGATTACTTTCGAAATAGAGGCAGTCTCTGAGTTCCGAATGTCCAATTACATACAGCCAAAGCACAATGTCGGCAGTTCAAATCTACCACCTGCTCCTCTGCTGTTAGGCTTGAGCCCATTGCTGCTGCCACTGTACCAAACCAACACATTGGGGTCTTCCTCTTTTTCGCCAGCCCTCCTCTTTAGCAAGCATGATGTCCTTCTCCCAGGACTGGGCCCTTCTGATAATATATCCAAGTATGAGAGACAAAGTCTGGCCATCCTAGCTCCTAAGGAGCACTCTGGCTACACTTCTTCCAACACAGATCTGTTTGTTCTTCTGGCAGTCCATGGTACTTTCAGTATTCTCCAACACCAGAACTCAAATGCATCAATTGTACGGTCTTCCTTAGTGTATACAGAAGTGAATGTTTTCATACATTACACTATATACTAGATTCTAAGACAGACATATGATGGACGTCCAGTATGAACTGTACCTACCTAACTGTTGTATGTACAAATTCAACTTAAAGACAGATTTAGAAACAGAATTCATTTGTAACCCGGGGACCGCCTGCCTATACGCCTACTCTCATCCGTTTGTTTCTAGGAGGATTTTCATTTTTTATTGTCTTGGTGAAGGATTTCATTCCTTTCTAATTCCCATCATGGAATTTACTTTCAAGATTTTTTTTCCCCCCTTAAAGTTGAGGACCCTTTTCTTTACATAACCCTAAAAATCAAAGGCAAGAGTAGACAAGAAAGCTGCTTCCGTTTCAGGAGTGGTCATGGGCAGAGTATTCAGGGCCATGTTTGGGTCGGCTGTAAAAGTGGCTCGGTGAGGCCAAACAAGAGCAGAAAGAAAGCCCTTCCTGCAGTTTAAAGGCCAACTGTTGAGTCGGAGCAGAGCTCCTGCAGGAAAACAATGAAGCTGTGCTGTTTGTGACTAAGCAACCTTGTCACAGAGGCTCTGAAAGTTGCCCGCTGACTTACTAACAGATTTACCTATCCCAAACGTAGAACTTGGCGCCCTTCAGACATCCCACACGACACAATGAAAACAAAACAGCTTTCATTTTATTGCCCTTGTCCACTCTGCTGATAGTACTCTTTGTTTCTTTCAAAATAATCCAGATACTTCCCTTCCCAAACTACATACTGATCTCAGCAGTGAAGTAAAGCAACTCTGCATCTTCCTAAAATTAGGTTCATAAAATTAGGTCAAGAGGTAGTGACCTGGAGCCAGAGAAACCCAGCTTCCCAGCGCCCATCACAGCTTTCCTGCCTGCAGACTGAATTATGGCTCAAAAATGAAAATGTTATGCCCAAACAGCCTGCTGTTAAGTGCCATCAAGCCAGTTCTAACCCATAATGACCCTGGACAGGCCTTCTGAGGAACATTTGGTGAGTTTGAACCACCGACTTCGCAGTCCAGCGCATGAACCCACAACACCACATCAGGGATTCCCTGTCAGGCACATGTTTTTTTTGTTAATTCTTAGCAACCCAAGGCACAGCAGAGCAAAACACCAGTCCTACACCGTCATTACTATGGTCGGCTGTAGCCATTGTGTCACACCATCTCATTGGGGGTCTTCCTCTTTTCACTGACCCTCTACGACTCAACAACACTTACCAGCAACAACCTTACCCAGCATGCTGTCCTCCAGGGAATGATCCTTCCTGATAACATGTCCAAAGTGCGTGAGATGACATCTCATCATCCTCGCTTCTAAGGGGCATCTGACTACTTCTTCCAAGACAGACGTTTGTTGTTCTGGAAGTCCATGGTACTTTAAATATGCTGCACCAACACCATAATTCAAATGCATTAATTCTCCTCCAGTCTTCCTTATTCATTGTCTAGTCTTTCACAGGCAAATGATGCCATTGAAAACGCCATGGCTTGGATCAGGCATGCCTTAGTCCTCAAACTGACATTTTTACTCTCCAACGCTTTAAAGAAGACTTTTGCAACAAATTCGCCCAATCTGTTTTGTTTCTAGGAGACTTTTCATTTTTTCTCTTTTGACTGCTGCTCGCCGGAGCGTTGACTGGATTCAAGTAAGATGAAATCCTTGAAAACTTCAATCTTTACTCCGTTTAGTGTGTAAATTTATTGGTCCAGTTGTGAGAATTTTTGTTTTCTTTCACTGAATTGCAATCCATACTGAAGCCTGTGTGTTCTTTGCTCTTCGTCAGTAAGTGCATCAAGTCCTCTTAACTTTCAACAAACAAGGTTGTGTCATGTGCATATCACAGGTAGTTAATGACTGATTCTTCCAGTCCTGATGCCGTGTTAGTCATATACTCAAGTTGATCAGATTATTTGCTCAGCATACACATTGAATACGTATGGCAAACACCTTTCCTGGTTTTAAAATACTTAGTATCCTCTTGGTTCTTCGGTATTTTAAAGAGATCTCGTGCAGCAG